CAAATTTTCTATTTAATTAATTTGTATCTTTAAGTTTGCAAAACCAATCAACTATTTTCAACTATTTCAATCCATAGATGTTTTTTTTTTCTTTATCTTGCACAACTCTTTTTTGCTTATTTGCAATCTTTTTTATTTTATGCCTTTTTTTACTAGCTGTTTTTCTGTGTCCCTTTCTATGGGTTGAGTTTTGTATCGCCTGTTGTTTGCTTCTACAGCCAGCATCTTCTTTGCCACTCCTTGGTTCGTTTGTTGCTGAACTTCAACGAAACACTTTTTTTTATTATAATCAACTAGGATTCTCGGTCCCTTTTTTGCTTTTAGGTCCCCTTATTTGCGTTCGGTTCTCTAGTGTTTTTTTAATTTGGTAGTCTTTTTTTTCTTTTACATTCTTTGACTTTTACACTGACGTTTTTCCTTTGACTTTTGGGATTATGTGCAAGTTTTTACTTTGATCAATGATCAATCTGCCATCTGAAGCGGTGAACTTCAGTTCTGAGCATCCAATCACCCATTTCAAAACACAAAAGCATCTGGAAAAACATCATTGCAATCAATCAATAGAAGTTAGGCTCGCCTCTGCATATCTCAAAGCACGATACAAATCAAAAGGGGTTCCTCGACCCTCACTTGCAAAAATTGATGTCCTCCTGTCGTCACAAAATTCAACAGACTCAATTTCAGATTTGAACAATACACCCCTCAATGTTTTATGTATAGATCGTAAAGTCGAGGTTCTCTGTCTCATTTGAGTAAAACACAAGGTGTCTTAAAACAAATTCATATGGCTCTCAGTTTTCTACTCATTTCAGTTTTAAGATTTTTTTCTTGAGACGTGAAGTAGCCATGGGGAAAAAAAATCGACCTCTTCAACTTACAAAACATTACTGTTATTAAAACTGAAAAATCCCAAATGGAAAGGGTTGGCTCAAAAACAAGAGCAGTTAAATGTGGAAGTAAAGCATACCTGCATGTTCCCGATTTCACTCAAAGGCTCAAAAACAAGGATTTGTTTCCTGTTGCATTCTTCTGCAGCAATTGTTCTAGCAACCATTTGCAGGTGGACAAATCTTTTTCTTTCAACGTGTTTTCCTTTTTTTGTTAGCTTTGCCTTTTAATGCTTGTTTTTCCTTTGTTTTTTACACTTCTCCTTCACTTTTTCTCTGTCGGTTTTTGTTTAAAATAAATGATGCAAGTTCTTTCTTTCAGGCCTTCAGATTCTCTGCTGTTGTCTACCTCTTCACCATCGTTTCACTATCATATTCGTCTTCACTAACAGTCTGCCAAGTTAGTCTTTCTAAGTACTAGCTCTTTTTTTGTTCTTAGTTCTTTCTCATTTCAAATCTTTATCTATGCATTTATTCTATGTCTGGTTTTCAAGATTATATGCTTTTTTACCTTATTGCCAAATGATTGCCCTTTTCTAAGCACGTTGCTTGAACAAATTGGACATATACGATTTACTTTTGCTTTTTATACTTTCCTTCAGCTTTTAACTTGAAAATTATTTGTTAAAAAAAATGTTCAGATTCCTTCTTTCGCTCCTTCAGAGTTGGCTTTTGACAGGATCGATTTTTGTGCTATCGTATACCTCTTTACCATAGTTTCATTGCTATTTTCATCTATAACAGGTTAGTGTTGCTTAATAAGAAATATGTACTGTGTGTATAGAGTTAGATATCATATTTTTTTTAAAAGGTTTCAATATCTATAATGACAAACCAATAACTTCACAGTGACACCTTTTGGATAGCATATCCCAAAAAAACTTTTAACAACTTCTAACCTTTACAAATCCAACTCTCACTGACAAATGTATTTATAGTTCTATCATCTTTCTATCTAGATTTTAGATGATCGCTATTAGTCAGTATATTAAAAAAACAAAAAAACAAAGACATCCTATGCCTTGATGCTTTTTTGCATCTTATTACCCATACTGTGAATTGTTATTACCAAACAAATAGCATCACATCAATTAAAACTCAAAAAAACCCCGCTATTTAAATGAAAATAAAGTC